AGGATTCTACACTGGGGCTCCTTTCATATACGCCCAGACTCTTTGGCCACTTCCTCTCCTCACTGCAGTGCGAGCTACTCGAGGCCAGCTACCGTTCTTGACTGAAACATTACACACGTAGCCCAGAATACTGTTCTAGCCTTCAGTGTAATTCAGATGGTTTGGTGGTTTTGGTACATGAGGATGGTAGTTTTGGGGGTGCTGGTAGTCATGAGGGTTTTGGTAGAGGCTTTAGCACAGATGAAGGTAGCTGGGCAGGGTCTGTGATGGTGACTCCTACTTTTGGAGATGGGAGCAACATAGAAAGATGGGTCTTTCATCTGTCTTTGACTCCACTGACCACATTCCATTTGGCTTCAGCTTTCATTTGGAGATCTTGGCCAGGAATGTTGTCCAAAACCTCCTCAAAATCAGATAGGACATTTGAGGACTTTTCTTTAAGTTGCAGAAATGTATTACCCTAGTGGGAGTTTTGCCTACTCAATGTTCCCAGATGTGTTGAACTTTGAACTTCCCCTCCTCCTCCTCTTGCCCAAGGTCACACCGTCTGGCTGCTGAGGGTGGGATGCGGCTCCTAAGCCAGAGACCCATCCAGCAAACAGGGCCTGGCCGCCTTCGGATTCCAGGGATGGCAGGCCCAGGGACAGGGATCTGGAATGGAGACCCCAGCAGGGTACCAACCCCTTCTTCATTTCCTGGCCAAGGCCCTCAGTGTCAGACTGTGTGGTGTGGGTTCCTGAATGAGATGGTGGAGGTGGGCCACAAGGTTCCCACCTGAAGGGAAGCCCCCATGCAGAGTATGTCTGACCCTGTGGGAGCCCACCCTCAATCTGCACCTTCATAGGTGGTCTCCCTGTGATTCTAGCCATCATTGTCACCTAAGCCACGGGCTCCATTCTCTCTTTAGGATTCTGGGCCAAAGATGGACAAAACTCTGACCCCTCTCTCTTGGTCCTCTAAGAACAACTCAAATCAGCTAAGATGTTTTTGGCTGGGCACCTTCCCTGCATGAGGTATTTTCACATCAAATTTCTAAACCAGTCCCCTCTGTAATATTGTGAAGAAAACTCCACTTTACAGATGAAGAGAGCAAGGCTTAGAAGGGTGAACTGATTTGTTTAATAATCCAGGTCTTCTGTCTCCAAATTCGGTTTTCTCTTTCCACAGCTGCCTCCCAGCTGGGACAAGCCTGCATACTCAAAAGGAAGTTTGCTAAAGGCTAACAGAAAAGAGATGTTTTCTAGAAGCTAGTCATGCTTCTAGAGGTTCTGATGCATCTGTAGGGGACTCCTTTGTAAGGCCTCACCTGTCTGAGGCTGCCCCAATAAGCCCCTTCTTCAGAGCCAAAATGCCCTTTCCTCCATTCTCCTTTCTCTGCCCACAGATCCTCATCCAGGTGAGAGCCCTTTCTGTGGCCTTTAAAGAACAGTGGATAAGGAGTGTACATCACAGCCTCATCCTAAGGGGCTATGCCCCAGGCAGGAGCCATTCCCATGACAGAATGGCCCCCACTATAGATCTCTCAGCCCCCACCTTAATAGATGGGGGTCAGGTGGCATCTCCCACCTCCAGATCTACCCAAATCCAGTGTCTAATCCATGCTCAGCACCTAGAGGATATTCTATCCCACCCCCCACATCTCCATCCACTAAGAACAGGAGAGGACACAAATATCAAGAGATCCAGAAACCACCAGAGATAGAAGAAATGAGAGGTGAGATAGAAGAGATCCCCAAAATTATCTCCATACACCTGAACAAAGAGAGGCCTTTATTTCTTGTTTGTGTTTAACTTGTGCAATGTACCCCAGTGTCTCATGGGAGCAAATGGAAACAAATACACGTGAACTGCCTGGCCCTAGACAGTTAGGAAAAGTCCCCAAGGGACTGTAACTATGACTAGGGACGGTTGGGAGACACAGAGACCCCTAATCAAATGAGAGATTCTAGGCTCAGACATTATATTCAGGCATCCAGGACAAGGGTCAGTGCTAGAGGGCATGGCAATGTTTTGCACATTTTTATTATTAAAAAATTTTTTAATGTTTATTTATTTTTGAGAGAGACAGAGGGTGAGCAGGGGAGGGGCAGAAAGAGAGAGGGAGACACAAAATTCGAAGCAGGCTCCAGGCTCTGAGAACGCAGAGCCCGATGATGGGGCTTGAACTCAAGAACTGCAAGATCATGACATGAGTTGAAGTTGAGCACTTAACCGATTGAGGCATCCAGGCGCCCCTGCACATTTTATTATTAATTGGTCCTTCTTCCACTCTTGCAGGTATCCCCTTTGCTTCCTGTAAACACCCTAGAACTGCTGACCCTTAGTCTCTAGCCTTTGTAGAAGGGGAAATAGTGATGTGACATCTGTTTGCAATGAACTTGGCATCTAGAATTCTACAGTGTTCTGGGGGGTTCCCCATAGGGAGCTAGCTGCTCTCTTTGAACCTCAGCTTTGAAGTGGGGGTGGGGCAGCACCATCCGAGTCAGCTGAGTAGCATGACAGTTATTAAGCACCTCCTATATGTAAAATACAGTATTTAACCCCGGAATTATACAGTATACAAAAATAAGATGATTTACTGCCTTCAAGTTTATATGCAGGGTCGTCTAGGTGGCTTAGTTAGGTGACTGACTCTTGGTTTCAGCTTAGGTCATTACCTCGTGGTTTGTGGTTTGAGCCCTGTATCCGGCTCTGCACTGTCAGTGGCTCTGTACTGTCAGCGTGGGGCCTGCTTGGGGATTTTTCTCTCCTTTGCTGTCTGCCCCTCCCCCACTCGTATTCTCACCCTCAAAAATAAGTAAATAAACTTAAAAAAGAAAGAAGTTTATATTCATGGGTAGAAACATAAGAAAATAATCCATTATAATATGCAAAGAAAACAGAAACAAACCTTAAAATAGATAAGAAAAAGGTTATAGGAAGCCAGAGGGATCTGAAGAAAGGTTTTGTGGAGGAGATAATAGTTGACCCGAGTTTTAAAAAACATGGCTTATTGATTTACTTTAGGTGTATTCTATGCCAATGTGGGGCTTAAACTCATGACCCTGAAATCAAGAATTGAATGCTCTACCAATTGAGCCAGTGAGGTGCCCCAAGACATGACTTATTTTTTTTTTTAATATTTTTATTTATTTCTAGGAGAGAGAGAGAGAGAGACAGCGTGAGCAGGGGAGGGTCAGAGAGAGGGAGTCACAGACTGAAACAGGCTCCAGGCTCTGAGCTGGCAGTCAGCACAGAGCCCGACACGGGGCTCAAACCCACGAACCGCGAGGTCATGACGCAAGCGAAAGTCGGACGCTTAACTGACTAAGCCACCCAGGCGCCCCAACACATGGCTTTTTAAAATGAGAGAGGATCAAGAGAGATTCCAGTCTAATAGCCAAGACTTAAAGGTGTGAAAGTATTGGCCTGTTTTTAGGAATACTGAGTAGAAAAGGAAGGTTGGAGCCTGATAACGGACACCCTCAATGCCAAGCTAAGGAACATGCGCCACATTATAGGCAATTGTCCCTTGAAGATTTTTGGCAGTAAAGCATTTGACCAACTTGCATTTTTGGTCAGCATTTGGGCAGTAGTATATACATTGGTCTGGAGAGACAATGAGGCAGGGGGACCAGTTATGAGCTACAGCTATAATATGAAAAAAGAATGGAGGTAGGCCTTAATTAGGGCAGAGAGACAGAGAGAGAAGGGGGTGGTGGTGGTGGTGATATGTAGGACCTGGAATGACAGAATTTATCTGGGAAGGGACAGCAGAGCTGAGATAATTCAAGGCTTCTAGTCTAGAAGATTAAGGAGGCCTCGGGACTGCTAATTAAGACAGAGAGACTGTTAGGCTTTCAAGAGGCTGTTTGCGGCACCTGGAAGATGCCAGTGGCGATGTTAGGTGGCGCTAAGAGACTGAGCCTGCAGATGAAGGAGTGTCACTGTGCCTGTAGGAGTGAAAGATCCACGCAGGAGAGAAAAGGCAGGAAATGCGAGGGAGGGGAGAGGAGACCGAGATAAGAGAACAGACTGAAAGCAGAGACACTGGAGGAAGGGTCAAGGGGTGACCACGTAAGGGCTCTTCCTGTTGACCTTGTTACCATCTTGGAAGGTAAACCCATGAAATCAAAAAAGCGGCTGTTTATCTTAGTGCTGTCTAACAGAACATTCTGCAATGATGGGAACGTTCTATGCCTGCACCGTCCAGGCCACGTGTGCCTATCCAGCACTTGCTATGTGACAAGGAGTTGAATTTTTTTTTTAAATTTTAAAGTTCACTTATTTTGAGAGAGAGAGTGCGAGGAGGGGAGTGGCAGAGAGAAGGAGAGAGAATCCCAAGCAGGCCCCACACTGTTAGCACAGAGCCCGATGCAGGGCTTGATCTCACAAACTGTGAAATCATGACCTGAGGTGAAGTCAGATGCTTAACTGACTGAGCCACCCAGGCACCTCAAGGAGCAGAAATTTTAAGGCGATAGTTTACAAAATTGGCTAGGTTTAAGATATGATTTCCACTGATGGTCAGCAGAGCCAATACAAATAGCTTAAAAGCTTTCTTGACTGCATTCAACACAATATTATTGAGAAACTTTAGAATGAGTACCTTTTGAATGGTATTTAATTCTCAAAGAGTTAATCTGAATGAATTGGCTGAAAGGGCAACTGCATTGTTTGAATTGCTGAGAATTCTCAACAAACTGTATTTTATATGAAATCTATTTCACCACAGCTGCCCACCTCCCCACAACCATTCACCCTGTCCATCCACACCTCTTACTAGCAGCACAGGAGCACTGTCTGGTGACCATGCCCAGGAACACAGGCTGTAGGGACTGAAGCCCACCAGATGATTACAGGCATGTTGCCCCCTCCCCCCCCAATGCCACCCAGCCTGCTCCGTTCCGGGTCTTTCTGGCATGTGACTCCCTTGCTGGATATTCATATCCAAGGCCCCTGTACACCAAAGTCGTTACAGACACCTTACTCCCTTCCCAGAGAACTATTTTCTACACCAAGAGCTTTACAAAATCCAAAATAATTTTATTCACTTTTTCAGATTTTTGCTTCCACGAGGTGTTCGGCAAACATGCTAAGGCGACAGAATGTCTAGTTGGTCACGACATGCAACTCTGACCATTCAGTTGATGACAGCAGCGACCACGCCCACCTGAGCTACTGGTCCCACAGCACAAAGGGGGTTTGCGGGCACACATGGAACTACACAGCAATCAGCAACCTGAGGTAGGTCTCTTTACAGTACAAAAAACTTCTACACCAGTGTGAGACACTGATTAGCAAGAGCTGCTTAAAGTCGCAGACTTTGGAGAGAGACAGAGACTGTGTGACAAGTGCAGGAGAGAGAAGAACAGACCCACAAACTCCTGAACCCTGTCACTGAACCGTGGAGGCGTGGGACCAGGCAAATGAAAAAGAACCACCGAGAAAAAGCATCAGCGGGCTCCCGGGTTTGGAGCCAGCGCGTGTAGGAGCTGGAGAGCTCTGTGCAGTGGCCGGCGTTAGGAACCTGAGGCAGTGGGACACTCTGTGAATAGACTTGATTCTGGTTAGGAAACAACAGCAAAAAGAGGAAGGCAGGAAAAGAAAACTCCCCCTGTCCAAGGAATGTTCTTCTGTGATTCTCATTCCTGACGGAGGGAGTGGAAAGGGGTCTGGGGCTTTACCCCCACTGCTCTCCTGACAGAAACAGTGAATGACAACAGGACAGAAAGCAGGAGCCCTGAGAATTCACGGCGCTCTGCATGGCCTCCAGCGGCGCCCCCCGCCCCCGCCCCGCCCGGGAGTGGCTGCGCGGAGGCGCAGAGGGGGCCGCCGGCCGGAGGGCTCGCCATTGCCACACATCTTCCTCTTGGACATCCAGAGAACCCGGCACCGTGAAACCACCAGCTGAAGAACAGTATGCTACCCTTCCTACAGTCTAATAGCAAAATCAGATCTCTAGTACAGCAAACTGTACAAAAATGATAGAAAGGAATTTGCACTGCTATCAGCACAGTGCTTATTTTAATATAAAATAAACAGCTTACATTTTCACTGTAAATATAGGCTATGTACAGAATTATATATAGATATAGCTACACGTATAAAGCTTCATTATAGGCCTCTGATACATTTATAATAACGGTTCCCTGAACCTTTTAGAGTGCAATTAAGAACAAAAACTAAATTCTGTTTACATGAATACGGAATAAATACAATAATCAAAATATGACTCTCCCTAAAATTGAAACACATAAGCCAATCCTGAACTGCTGTGCGAAAGATAAAATTGGGAAAGGCAAGGTTTCGGCAGGAGGACGCGATGAGGGGCCCGCCCTAGGCAGGGAATGGCAATGCTCCAAGGAAGAGAGACGTGGCAGCAGCGGGGAGGAGTTAGCCCTTGACAGCGACCTTGTTCTCCACAGCGGCAAACATGGCATAGAACCGGGAGCTGTCATTGGACAGAAGGACTGATGGGGTGTCGAACTCCACCACCTGCAAAGGAAGGAGACACATCACGTGGGGTCATTCAGAGGGCCACTGCCAGGAAAGGGCAAACACCAAGTCCCTCTGGGGGCAGAATCGCAGTGACGCTTCGATGAATCCCGCCATGCCCAAGTGGGTTCCACTTTTTTTTTTTTTAACTAACCAGGGTATAAGGAAAGGTTAGGGACAAAGACATCCAGACCCCCTTCACAGAAATCTCAGGAGGGAAATAAATGGCAGGGCAAGTCAACGGCATAGGAGGCAAATCTCATCTTGTTGTACAAACTGATCCTAATCCGTAGGTGGAAAAAGAAGACCTCAAAACACACAGCTGGCAGAATAAAATAGGAAGTAAAGGACCCAGCCAGTCAATTATCCATTCCTATGATGGACTTGGGTGTAGCCACTGAAAACCATACTGAAATGGTAGTAAAAAACTGAATGCTATGCTGGCAGAGCCTGCCTTCCACGATAGAGGCAGAAAATGTCACATATCCACTTTCCCAGCTTTTCTTGCTACAGGGCCAAGACACGGACACAGCCTTGACCAAGGAGAAGTCTCTGTGATGCTTCTAGGAAAGGCTGTTCTGCCCGATAGATACAGACATAAGGCCAAAGCCTTCCACAGGAGTGCCTGTGTGCGGACACGACATTGGGAGCTAGAGCAGACATCCTGCACCATGATGGGGAGGGAAGGTAGGCGCTGGCTGGAAGCTGATGGAGAAGCTGGCGTTGCTGATCTGCTGAATAACCAACCGTCAGGCCTCCTGCCATGGGATGATAAACTCCTACCGCCCAAGCCTCTTTCATTCTGGTATTGTGTGTCTCCAGCAAAGCACATCCTATCTGCTGGAGTCTGTGTGCATACAGGCATGAAAAATGCTGGCAGGGTGCAAATTAATGTATTAATGATGCTTATCCCTGAGGAGGTAAATGACTTAGTATTGCTTTTATGCTTTTTTCCATGTTTTTCAGTTTTTCCTAAAACTATAAGCAAATTTTAATGAGCACAAAAATCAAGGGAAGGGAAGGCTAGAATCCCTCATTAAGAGCCAATCAATCCCCATCCCAAAACATTGAGCCACTCAGAAAGAAAGTGGTCTGGATGTGTGTCTCTAAGAAAGAATTTCCCAGAAATTCCCCTAAAGAAGGTGTTCTTGGTCCCATCTACTTTATTTTTTTATATTCTATTTAATACCTATGTACAGAGCAGTAGCTCTGCTTAATAGAATCTCAGTAAACATTTAGTATAAAGCAAACAAAGATGGTAACAAAAAAACACTAATGTTAACGTAATTTCAACATGAGGGGAAAAATCATTAACCTTAAATCTCAAACTCACTATGAAGCCCAGCCTAAATCTACAGTGTTAGATGCTCTTCTCAGTACTTCTCCACAAACAGAAGGACAGTGCGGTCTGGCAGTATAAAGCCGACTTTAGGGTCGCTGGCCTACCTCGGCTCCAATTCTCCCTTCCCGTGGACTAGAGATAGGTTAAGTTCCCGGAGCCTGTTAAGTACCAGGTTAAGTACCCTACCTGAGGTAGGGTTAAAACATCTGTATCTTTCTCAGTGGTTGTGATGATTAGTCATATATTGAGGGGCAGTATGTAAAAGGGCTTAGCATGGTGCCTGACATACAAGAAACATACAGTGAAAGTGGCCATTATGGTAGCCATTATTATTAGTAACACAAGACAAGTTACATATCGTAACTGGCTTTTTCCTGCTGCCAAACCACCAATTTGCTGTCATCCCAGGGGCACACAAAGGAGGTACCCATCCAACACAAATCTACTTAACATCTTAAGTGACATACTTAACACCTACCATATGCAAAGAACATAGTACAGAGCCTTGCCAGGGACCCAAAGATGAATGAAGTAGGACCCGTGACTCTAGAGAGCTTACAGTCTAATAGGGGAGATGGAGCATTAGCCAAGTACCGTCAGACGAGGCAAGAAGAGCTATACCAGAGGTACACATAAAGTTTAAGGTGGCAGAGGCGTGGTACCTGGGTGTCTCAGTCAGTTAAGCGTCTGACTTCGGCTCAGGTCATGATCTCACGGTTGGTGGGTTTGAGCCCCGTGTCAGGCTCTGTGCTAACAGCTCAGAGCCTGGAGCCTGTTTCAGATTCTATGTCTCCCTCTCTCTCTGACCCTCCCCTGCTCACGCTGTCTCTCTCTCTCTCTCTCTCAGAAATAAATAAAACATTTTAAAAAATTGAAAAAAAATAAGGTGGCAGAGGCAATTAGGGTATTTAGGCCAGGTCTTTTTTTTTTTAATTTTTTATGTTTTACTTATTTCTAGGAGAGAGAAAGAGAGACAGCATGAGCAGGGGAGGGTCAGAGAGAGAGGGAGTCACAGACTCTGAAACAGGCTCCAGGCTCCGAGCTGGCAGTCAGCACAGAGCCCGACGCGGGGCTCGAACCCACGAACCGCGAGATCATGACCTAAGCGAAAGTCGGACGCTCAACCGACTAAGCCACCCAGGTGCCCCTAGGCCAGGTCTTTCTTAAGAGACAGGCAGGCTATACACAGACAGGTATGGGGATGGGGGTGAGGGGACAAGAGGAAAAGGTGCTGGAGGCAGAGGGAACCAAGTGACACAGGAAGACACAGAAGAGAACCAGCTTAGGGGATGCAAGACTGTTTAGAGCCACCAGCACCTGCAAGGAGAGACTGGGAAATGAAGGCGGCTAGGCTGGGCCAGATTGTGGGAAAGCTTAGAACAGCCAGATAAGAAGTTCAGCAACACTACATGATTGCAAAGAGCAAACACAAGGTGGCTGGTCTCAATATGCCTCAAATCTTGCCTGTGTGAGTGAGTATGAACACATGCTCTCTGACCTAAGTCAAAGTGTCACTTTTACGAGCAACAAAAAAGCAGTTTCTCAATGAGAACCCAGTAAGAGTGCTCCTACTCAGTCTCTTGATTGGGAGGGCTGTATCCCTCCGTGCAGCCGCCAGGTCAGAGCTGCTAAGGAAGCTTATCTGAAAGCTAAGAATTGCCCTGAGATGGCAATCAGCCCAGTCCTGCCAGGGGCCAGTTTTCCTCCCAGACAAGGCCACATGCCAAGCCATGGTCCCTCAGGGGCTCAGTACCTGTCCCTGGGCCAGCACCATAATCCTATCGGAGCCTAGGACTGTATGTAGGCGATGGGCAATCGTCAGCATGGTACAGTCAGCAAATGCTTCTCGGATGGTCTCTTGGATTAGTAAGTCTGTCTCTGTGTCCATGGCAGCTGTGGCTTCATCTAGAATCAAAATCTGCCAGAGAAGAGAGGAGAAAGAGAGATCCAATCAATTCCCTAAGCATTCTACCTAATCCACGTTTCACTAAAATGTATTTCATTATTTAAATTTTATACCATAATCTATTTTTCCTAAGTACACACATATGTAAAAGGACCATTTTACTTAGAACAGAGACAACTTCAAACCCACGTGTTTGCCTTCATTTCCACAAATAAGAGAAAATGTGTGTAATACAGATCTAACAAAATGCTTGCCCCTGCTTGCTCTGTGACTCTGAACATCTTTCTGGATCTTCCTCTTCCGGTTTACAAAACAAGGGACTGGATTTGATGGCCTAGATGTCTTTAAGTCTACGGCTTTCAACAGTACCACAACTACTCCCTGGTCAGAAACAAAAGTCACCTTTGGAAATTAAAGGCTCAGGGAAGTTTGAAGGCTCAAAAACACTTGTATACCCAGATCGTATCAAGGTGAATTTAGTAGCATCTCTGGGTCCGCTCCTAAAATGCTCCACTGGGCTTCGTGCCAGGAACGCCTTTGGTTCTCACATGACAGGGAAAGGCCGTTCTCCTTCCCAGCCACTCTCCAAACCGCCTACCTTGCAGTGACGGAGCAAGGCTCTTGCAATGCATAGGAGCTGCCGCTCCCCCACTGAGAAGTTATCCCCATTCTCCATCACTTCAGATTCAAGTTTCAGAGGTAGCTGAGCAATCTAAGGAGAAAGGAAGTTGAGACTTGAAGGGTCAAAAAGTAAATTTTGCAAAAAAAAAAGAAAAATTATACTAAATTTTGTCAAAAATCTAGTGGCACAAATAAACTATTCTGAAATAGATGAAACAATTTTTAGTCACAAATCCGGCTCACTTAAGAGGAAGGTATAGGTTTGATGGTCACATGTATGAGGACCTTCATTTTCTAGGACATGTCATATTTCAGATAGATTATTTTGTTAGCCTCATACCATTAAAAGATTCTAGAAATTCCAGTATTTCCATGTCTCCAAACCCTGTCAGATGGTGCCCTAATTTTTGGTTCTGAAATTATGGTCATGCAAAGAGATCGCTCTTTATGAATTTCAAAGCTATAGGTCCATGGCTGTCAAATTTGGCTTTATAATAAGCTATCAAGCCTATTCTTCAAATGAAATTGTTTGAGGAAGGCCAATGTGTAAGTAGTGAAGGCAGAGCTGATGTAGTTGAATCAGGGCAAGGGATCCAGAGCTTTACTCAACCCAGGGGCATGAGAGATCCTACTCCAGGCCAAGCGGATCACCTGTGGCCTCGAGCGGGTGCATGATGAGCTACCCCAACAAGCCTATGACTCCATATGCATGCTGCACACTTTCTGTGGACTCCATACCTATTCAAATGGTTCAAAAACATGTTATACTGTCATGATAGATAAAATAGAAATTAAAAGCATTACAGAATTCTGAGTGGTTGTCATTAATATTGTTTTTAATCAATAGATAGCAGAAGGGCCATGGTCGAGAGATATCAACTTTTATGCCCTTTCCAAAATGCCTGGGAAGCCTTATTGAACGTGCTCCTTCACAGGATTTCACAGCATCCTGGAAATAGGCGACAGGCCAGGCTGGACAGGCGCAGCCTGGGCAGGCTGGAGAGAGACCACCACATCACTGTGTTTCCCCCCCTGAAATTCCAGCAAAGTGCTCCCTCTGTGCTTTACTTACACATTCTTTCATGTGTGTCCTTTCTAGGGCATCCCAAATCTGGTCTTCAGTGTACTGGTTGAAGGGATCTAAATTTGATCTAGAGAGAAACACAGTAGGGATTTCTCAATTATCCAACATGTAAGGCACCATCCTGCAAAGGTTATCTGTCACAGGAACGTATATGAGAACAGGCCGGGCCTCTCTGTCTTCTTCTTAAGTTTGTTTATTTTTGAGAGAGAGAGAGAGAGAGTGAGCATGCCCAAGTGGGGGAGGGGTAGAGCGAGGGAGAGAGCATCCCAAGCAGGCTCCACACTGCCAGCATGGAGCCAGATGCAGGGCTCAATCTCACAGCCCCAGGATCCTGACCTGAGCTAAAATCAAGAGTCAGTGCTTAACCAACCAAGCCACCCAGGCGCTCCCTCTCTGTCTTCTTTATAAAACTCTATTTGGTTTAACTTTTATTTTTTATTATGGAAATAATACAAGTTAGTTACAGAAAAATTAAGAAGTATAGATATGTGAAACACACAGCTAAAACCAATGACATTTTAATCACTTCTAATCAGACCCCCAGAAACAAACACTGTTAGCATTTTGACATTTACATGTTGAAATACATCTTTCTTATGTTCAAACTTAGAAAAACATCCTGATGTACCAGGGTGAGAGCCTGTCACTGAGCAGGGACTCGATGGCAGCTGATTGACCAGGAGGAGGAGCTGATCAAGTAAAGGAGAAAGGAGAACATGAAGAGCAACTCAAGAGGAAGGAATTTACTGGAACAGAAAACCAGACTGGGGGCTATACTTGCTTACTGTACCAATAGTATCTACCTGAAGAACACCAAGGATGACACCAAAACAATTGGCCTAGACATTTCTGGAAATCTTAAAGACAGGGGAAAAAGCTCTTTGTTCTAGACGACAAGGGCGAAGTGTTGGGGTAGAACAGATCATTGATGGAAATTGGGATGTTGCATTAATTTTGCGGTGCCTTGTCCCCATCTAAACATGACATTTACAGGTCTAGTAACCTGAAAGGTATTAGGTATAATCTGCTTTGTTCATAAAATTATACTTGGCATATAGGAAGTAGGAAAGTTTTTGGGAAAACTTTAGCTCCGTGTCACACTGGTCTCCATGCCTGGGGTAAGCGATTCCAGGCACACCAACGCAAGTGGGACATTATCTCAGAACCCCACCTGACAGGAGGAAGCACAGGCTGGCACCTGCCTCGCTCATCCCTTTGGGCCACTTCTGGACTCTGTTGGGAGACTCTAACTGGCTTTGCTCTCTTATGCCCTTTGAACATGTGCACCTCTCTCCATCCTTTTGCTAGAGAGACACTGGTAGAAACAAGGGCTCTGGGGCCAGACTTGCTGATTCCTACACAGCTTCTATTACGACTGTGTAACCCTGACCAAGTTAGCTTAACTTCTCTGTGCTTCAGTGCCCTCACGCGTAAGACAGGGATCAAAAAGCACCTCCTTGGTGGGGCACCTGGGTGGCTTAGTCGGTTAAGCGTCTGACTTTCGCTTAGGTCATGATCTCGCGGTTCATGGGTTCGAGCCCCGCGTCGGGCTCTGTGCTGACTGCCAGCTCAGAGCCTGGAGCCTATTTCAGAGTCTCTGTCTTCCTCTCTCTCTGACCCTCCCCTGCTCACGCTGTCTCTCTCTCTCCTAGAAATAAATAAAAATATTAAAAAAAAGAAAAAGAAAAAAAAAAAGCACCTCCTTGGGGTGCCTGGGTGGCTCAGTCAGTTAAACGTCTGACTTTAGCTCAGGTCATGATCTCACAATTCGTGGGTTCAAGCGCAGCCTTGGGCTCTGTGCTTACAGCTCAGAGCCTGGAGCCTGCTTCAGATTCTGTGTCTCCCTCTCTGCTCTCATGCTCTGTCTCTGTCTCTCAAAAATAAACATTAAAAAAATTGGAAAAAGTACCTCCTCATAAAGTTGTTGTGACAGCTGCATTTCACGTGTAGGAAGTACTTAGAGCAGTCCCCCGGTGCTCTGTTAGCACTGTGTATGTGAGAGCTGGTATTATGATGATGTTATTGTCATTGCTGTTACTCCTTGGTTATGACTGCTTCTTGTCCTTCAGGTCACAACTTAGACACAGAAAGTCTCCTGTCCCTTTAAGCCTGATTTAGGTGTCCTTATGCTCACCCTCATTATGGCACTTGTCTCTCTGTTCATTTGTCTTCCCCAGTGGATCAGGATCCTTGTCCGAATCTTATTCACTGTGGAAACCCATGTACATTGTCTACTATTTGTTGTAAGAATAAAGGGACATACATCTTTATTTGACTTCCCGGTAAGAGGTATTAGTATGTCACAATTTAAGCATTTTCTGTAATTGCAGAAATGTGATTATTGCAGAAGTGTGGTGCAGAGTGAGCACAAAGAATTCAGGCAGACTGGGCTCAAATCCCCACTCTGCTTCTTATCATCTGCATGACCTTAGACAAATTACACCTCAGTCTTCTGCTCTATAAAATGGGGATATAGTGACAAGCTTTGGTAGATTGCTATAAATTAGAGATAGCATATATACAGTGCCTGGAACAAGGCAGACATTCAATCACTGGCAACTGTTAAATAGACAAGGTACATGTGGACACATTAGCTGCCTCATTCCAATGCTTGGTGGTTTTCTGATTCATATATTCAATGCATTTTCCAAGTGGACACAATAATCTCAGGATTCAGAATACCAGGCTCAGAAAGAGTTCTGATAAAGTTCTAGCTGTGAAAAGTCTGGATGGGAAGACTAATCTTCTACAGGCCTACCATCTAATATCTATTATCTCTGTTGGCATATTTCTTTTATTTTTTAATTTTTTTAAATGTTTTATTTATTTCTGAGAGAGAGAGAGAGACAGCATAAGCAGGGTAGGGTCAGAGAGAGAGAGACACACACAGAATCTGAAGCAGGCTCCAGGCTCTGAGCTAGCTGTCAGCACAGACCCTGACGCGGGGCTCAAACCCACGAACCGTGAGATCATGACCTAAGTGAAAGTCAGACGCTTAACCGACTGAGCCACCCAGGCGCCCTGTCTGTTGGCATATCTCTTAAAGAAGGTAGTCCAGGGGACCTGGGTGGCTCAGTTGGCTGAGTGTCCAATTCTTGGTTTGGCCGAGGTCAAGATCTCACTGTTCACGAGTTTGAGCCCTGTGCTAGCAGAGCCTCCTTGGGATTCTCTCTCCCCCTCTCCCTGCCTTTCCCCTGCATATGCATGTATACATGCTCTCTCTCTCAAAATAAATAAAACATTAAGCAGAAAAACTGTACAGTGATGCCTATTGTTATGGGTTGAAGTGTGTCCTCTCCAAAAAGACATTAAGTCCTAACCCTCAGTATCTAAGAATGTAACCCTATTTGGAAATAGGGTCATTGCAGGCATAATTAGTTAAAATGAGGTCATTCTGGAGTAGCGAAGTAGAGTGGGCTTTAATCCAATATGACTGGTGTCCTTATGAGAGAGGGTCATGGGAAGGCAGAATACAAAGGTAGAAGGCCATGTGACAATGGAGGCAGAGATCACAATGATGCACCTATCAGCCAAGGAACACCAAAGATTGCTGGGAAGCCACTAGTGGGTAGAAGAGACAAGGGAAGGATCAGAGGAAGCATGAGCCTGCTGACACCTTGATTTCAGACTTCTAGTCTCCAGAACTGTGAGACAATGAATTCCTGTTGTTTTAGACCACTGAGTTTGAGGCACTTTGTTGTGACACCCCTAGGAAACAAATACAACTAGGGAGTTCATCACATACCTCTTATTAGACACAGAGTATGCACATAAGGGATACAGTTACCTGCTCACTAAACAGCCTGCCCCAGCAGATTCTCTGTGGACAGACACATGGGTAGGCTCAACATTCAACCTTCTGAGGCTCATCACACCAGCTGACGGAGCCGCTGAAGACTGAGCAATGAGCTCCAGATATATAAGGAATATTTACATACACCAGTAGGTGGTGTACATACACATTAAGGCAGACCAGACTGATCTCAACAGGGAGCTCAATCAGGAACAGAAAAAAATACACTCTCATTAGAGAAGCCAGATGGCCCTGAGTCTGAGCTACAAACAGAAGTGAAAGCAAAGTTATGCATCTGCATCAAAAGTTGTAGCTGGGTGGATGGAGGAAAAAAAGCATCTGAGCATGAAGGCACCTATTTTTAAAAGTCAGAACTCCTGGAGTCCTGGGGCACCTGGGTGGCTCTGTTGGTTAAGCATCTGACTTCGGCTCAGGTCATGATCTCCAGGTTTGTGGGTTCGAGCCCTGTGTCAGGCTCTGTGTTGCCAGCTTAGAGACTGCTTCAGATCTATGTCTCCCTCTCTCTCTGCCCCTGCTGGCACCATCTCTCTCTCTCAAAAATAAATAAAGGTTAAAACAAAAAGAGAGAGAGAACTCCTGGAGTCCTAATGTTGCCAGAAGTGCTTTTCATCTTTGGTCTTTCGTATTTTATTTTTAGCAGTATTCTAAGCTTGCCTCTTGGCCACAGCTAAATGAGGCTAAGAATATCTCTGAGAGTGTGAGAGGATACAGGAGTCCCCTCCCCCCCCCCCCCCCCATACATGGGAAGACGCTGCTACACCACACCTGTCCTGTCATAGCAGAGGCGGGAGGAGTGAGGGTGCCTCCTGAGCAGCCTCAGGGCTCAGAGCAGGGGCTTGGGACCTACAGACCTTCTGCTATCAGGAAGCTAAAGGAGAGCTCTAGACAATTATTCAGAAATATGGACTGGCTTGGGCCTTTAGTTGTTAAGAGTAAAATTAGATAGAAAAAAAGATTAGAGGTGGAAAAAGAGATATGGGGAAAGGTAAGTGAAAAGACTCAAGAGAATAGCAGAGAGTGTATGATTTTTTTTTCCCCTATATAAGGGAGGTCTGTACAAATCTGGAAGCAGATGAGATTTTGAAGATGCTGGAAAAGAAAGGTAACTAAAGGTTAGGCCCCTGAGGAAGCAGGCCTGGTTTTTGGAAAGACAGAATACTTTCCAAGGTCGTGATTATTAGTGGGTGTTGTGATAACTTCAGGAGGTGATGCAGTGAGTGTGGCACATAAGAGCCCCGACAGCCTAGGCTCAGATTCCTACCTTTGGGCAAATTATTTAACTTCTCTGGGTTTCAGTTTTTTCATCTATAAAATAGGCATAACAATAGTACCTAACTCATGGGGTTGTGAGTATTTGATCAATTAATATAATTAAAATGCTTTGGACAAGAGGCGCCTGGATGGCTCTGTTGGGCGTCCGACTTCGGCTCAGGTCGTGATCTCGCAGTTCGTGTGTTTGAGCCCCACGTCAGGCTCTGTGCTGATAGCTCAGAGCCCGGAGCCTGCTTCAGATTCTGTGTGTGTCTCTCTCTCTGGCCCTCCCCAACTTGTACTCGGTCTCTGTGTCTCTCAAAAATAAATAAACAGTAAAAAAATTTAAAATGCTTTGAACAACATCTGCCATATACTGTTCTGTTGTTCTTTACAGCAGTAGTGTCTGGCACAGAACGACCTTTTCCTTTTTTTTTTTTTTTTTTTA